TGAAAAACAATGGAATTTAACCAAAAAAGATGCTTCAGGAACTTGATATTTCAGTAAGAACTTGATAATGATATAAACATCAATTTAAAAAAACTGGAAAATTTATCAAAACGATAAATACGATCAATGTTTTAAGGCAAACAATAAAGAACCGAAAAAGCAAAGAAAAAAGTGAAAAAAAAAAACCTTCGCGTTTTTTACAGCAATCTTTTTCTTCAATGAAAAATCCTCCCTTTCAATTTGTCGCTTCACTTTATTTCTTTCTTTTTGTTCTTTCTCTTCCAAATATTGATGACAGGAATCTTTCAACTGATCGTTTATCTAGAAATGCATGCATAAACAAAATCTGCTTTGCTAAAGGAATAAATTTAAAGTAAAAATTAATATCATTTCTCAATCATTTAATCTTATTAAAAATTAACGACTTGTCACTAGGAAGCTACTACAAAAATATTATAATACAATACGATGTGAAGAAGCATAATGAAAGATACATACAGCATCTCGTTCAGCTTGTAACTTAGCTTTCCAGAGATAAGCTGCTGTGCAATCACGTTTTAAATGCCAGGAATATAATTTCTTCCCCATTGATCTATTTCCTTGCAGGGAACTACTCGATGAAAAGGAGCTAATCGACGATTCACTGAAAAACCCAAAAGTTTGTCAGTATTCCTTCAAAAATCATTAGCATTAGTTTTAATCGATCCATCAGTTATTTATCGTCTCCCATATTTTCCTTCTCTCCCTCGAAATCTGGAAAACAGTCCTAATTCTCCGCTTATCAAAAACAATTCAAAAGGCAACCACGACAGTGTTTGAAAAACCAACTCTTTTGGATAAACTAAACAATAAATTTGAAAGTGAATCGAGATCTGTTTAAAATTCGAAAACCTTACTTTTCATTGGTCCAAAAGCTGCACAGCATAAATGTCGTAAAAACGACACATTTAAATTATATTCAAATCCTAATATTTTTTGCCAGATGCGTGATGAGTCAATCACCTAATATTTCTGCATTTGTAAGTAATATTGTCTAGATCCTTAAGCCACTAAGCTAATTACATCCTCTTTTCTCACACAACAAAAAACTAATTTTGTTACCAGTTTTTGTTTACATTCGTGCAAATGTTTCAACCAGCTTTCGGGTCGTCAGTTCAGTTCTATATATAAACTAACCAACCTTCCATATTAACCATTATTCATGCCTCGTTTTTGGGTAGTTTTTGAGGTATTTTAGTGTTTTATGATCATTATTATACCATTTATAATATCTATGCATTGTTATAATATTGATTTTTGCGTTAATGTCGATTTTGGTTTAATTACCCAAGTTTGAGGCAAATAAAATATCTGGTAGTCAATACATTCCAATAAGCAATTTTTTTTAAAAACATCAACTGACCTATTTTCGATGTCCAAAAGATGTTTGCATTTTGAACAGAACCAACTTGAAAGCGGATCCTTCGGATTTAACCACGCTCCAGAAGGTGGTTTACATGTTCCATGAAAAGCTGTATCGCATGCAAAACACTGCACATTTTCCGGCTGAAAATCGTAAAAGCTATATAATCTGCTTCAATTTTGATAAATGCCTCAAAATTAGATTTTTTTTAAAAAAAAACACCAAAATTAACAGGAACAGGAAAGTCTCAACACAAGATATTTTATAATGAACTTTAGATAAAAAAACTTCAAACTTTAAACGAAGCAAAAAACAGGCTATGAATAAAGGCATTATTAATCTACAGTGTTCTATACGAGAAATTCTAACTAGAGAGGAACATCCTCAATCATAAAAACTCACATCATATATAAATTCATTGCAACTGTAGCAGTATATACATGTCGGACAAAGCCATGTGCAGCACCGTTTTTCTGACACCAAACGTATAGATTCTGGTGCATATCCCAAACATTCCAAGTGATCTGAAAAATCATATTGATCTGCATATTGACTATAAACTTGAATATCTGACCGGCGTAAAAATTAGATTTTCACAAGGGCAGGAAACTACGGGAATAATTACCACAGACAAGAAATAAGTCTTGATTAAAAGAATAATGTATTTGTAGATATTTAGCTTTATTTTACACACTTATATGATTCACAGCATTAAAAACTCATGTACTCAGAGTAATGGAAAGAGCACTCAATACGGAGACTATCACATGAAATGATTACATTAAAAGAATTTACATTTGCTTTCACAAACAGAACATGTCATGACACCCCCAGCACTTATTTTACATAGTCGACAGCAGTCTGTTCCTCGTGACCTGAAATAAATTAGAAAATATCATTCCTTTAAGTCAGCATTACATTTGCAAAAGCATTATGGCAAACTGACTTTAATTCATGAGATCATTCTAACTGAATCACAAATTCTTTTCAAATGTCCAAAATAAAATTCAAAGAATTTACAAAAAAAAAAAAAAAAAACGATGAATTCAAATGTCTAAAATAAAATTCAACCACAAACTACCTTTTATATAATCCTCTAGTTTTGATTGGAGAATAAATGGAGGAGCTTTTCTGCTGCTTGTATTCCTTGACCTTTGCCAAAATCTTTTCGCTCTTTCTTACAACGACAGATGAGTCAGCAGAAATTTGTAAATTAAGTCGAGTTTTCTTCACTGCTGCAATCCTGAATGATAAAAAAATGTGGCACATGCAAAGAAACATGTACTACACGAAAACAGGAAAAAAGCTAAACAATCACAAGGTATAAACTAAATAATGGTATAAACTACAATGAAAGTAAGTTATAAGTGTAAAAAATTAGATGCAACAATGAAGTGATCATATCTCATAATATTATAATAGTATTAATTTGTTAATGACTTAAATTTTAACTACTGAATTTTAGCTTAACTAAATCCACTTGTTAGTACAACTGCTAATACATGCCCAATTAATGAGGCTGAATACGTGCAAATTCAATTCACATTACTTAGGCAAGCTTAAATTACCTTCTGCTCCTGCTATCGCCGTTCTCGATTGTTCTCGAGCATGAAGCAGTCTGAGTAGATAAAGCTTTCACCTTCCCATTCCCAAAAGTTATTTGCTGCTGTCTTTTTCTTGATGCTTTCGTAGCTTCAGATGTCCTCTTTCGAGTCTTCATTTCTACAATACAAATTTTGAATGATGATACTAATGTGATGCTTGTACTAATGTGAATTAAACATCTTGCCTTGAGCTCAGAAATTTAAACACCATGCAGTACAGAGAAATGCGCCAGAAATAGAGCCGAAATTCTCAGCTTTTTGTGGTATGTCATAACTTATAACAACTAAACGAAGATTTACACTCATCTTCCTGTCTCTCTCTCTCTCTTGAAATACATTTTGTTCATCAATCCAGTCATTTCACGAATCACGTAACTGCGTCTCTCTCTACACGTGAAACATTATATCGATATGCTTCATCCATCACATTTCACAACCACTACAATCCTTTAACAAAATGTCTACACACAAAGAAAATTTAAGTACTACTCACAATCACCCATTTCATGAAAGGTTTCGTCCATTGCAGCATAATTTTTTAATTAAATAAATGTATGTGAACGTAGACATTGAGAAGAAGAAGCTTATCAGTAGAGAATTGAAATGCTGGCGTGATCTGTGATGGATGGATGGATGTATGTGATATTCACTGACTGATATTTGAACACACTGATCACTTATCTCTTTAACAGATGTTGACGAGCTCAGCACAAATGTCCAACTGAAATAATAGTAAGCATTAAGCCGCCTCTGCTACTTCTGCTGCTGCTGCTTCTGCTCTAAACTTTAGCTTCATCAAGTTTCTGCTACAACAGAGTTTCTTAGCTTAAGTATTTCTCATCATAGTATTCGCGATGCTAGCAGATTTTTAAAATTCTTCATTTTTTATGGCTAAATTATTAGGAGTAATATTGTTAAGTAACTTACTGTTACAAAAACCAATGAGTCTATTCTTTGTTCCTTATTATTTCAATCAATTAAGTAAAATAAAACAAGAGTATTCGTCTAAGAAAAGAATCACTGATAATCAATAAAGGGAATATAAATGATGATATGATTAACATCATCAATCAGTATGTTTTTTTTTTGTTAAATTAAGCAGTACCATTCTATTTCTTTCTCTCTTCTCCTTTTCTGTCACTGATAATCCTTGAAGCATAATAAACATCAGTCATATGCCAAACTAACTTATAATATCTCTTAGGACTCTGGCTTCTTTTTTACTGTACTGTTATATTCTGGTAAATATTCCCAATTATTGTGCTTTTTTTTTTCACAACTTTGCAAGTATACTGATCACAGTTGGCTCTATTCTTTTGAGGCCTGAGTGAGTGAAACGATATCTACGTTCCACCGATCCTCTATATATCTGAGACATAAACAGTTCAGTGTTTGGCTTCTTCATGACCTATAGGGTTATTCAGCAAAAATAGGTTAAGCAAATCATCCTCTCCTTAGTATTTCCAGTCACCGATCTGCTTTTTCTTCCCATTTTATTTCTCTAAATTTATGATTGTCTTTTGTAGAATCTATCCGATAAAATTTGACGCCATTCTATCTTTTCATTTTCAAAAAGATTTTTGAAGGTTTTTTCTCCTTTCCCTTAAATATTTTGACTTCCATCATAGTTTCGTACACTTCACAGCATTCGCATTCTAGTTGCTTTTGTTTATGTTAGTTAGCCAGAAAGTTTCTCTATTATTTGCTATCATGATAGATTATATCTCAAATCATCCCATTTGTACCAATTTATTTCATAGAGTATCAAAGTACCCTTTGCTCTCTTTCATTTTTTGCACGTATGATTTAAAAAAAAAAAAAAAGAATGAGATAAGAGTTCGAAAATTTATCATCCAGCAATTTAAGATGATTTACAGCATAAACAACAAAGTGACGTAAACAATAACAGCAGCAGATCCTGAATCTGAAGCAAGGTCAACTAGCAACAGCCCACCGCACACGTGCGTAATACTGATTGCTCCTCCCGATTCAAAATGGTTAAATCATTGTTCAATATTTGTTTGGCAGCTACGTGCCAGCATAACTTATATGGATATTTGGCTGATTTGCCAACATCTTGTAAACAGCGTTTGCTCGAATTCTTTAGCTCACATGACCAGGTATTACATTATGCCCAGTTGTAATTATTAAAAATGTCAATCCCTGGATATTTTATCCATAGAAAAATAAAAATGTTCAAAAATATGTTCCAGGAGTTGTACGATGAATTTAGACTGTGGATTTAAGTATATTTACATCTCTTCAAAAAACTCACTATAATAATTCTCAGAATACTTGTATCCACTACACAAAAAATGATTGTAATTGAATGATTTGAACAATCGTTTGTTTTATTAGAAAGTTGTTTTTATCACTAGATTAGAGAAAGGAAGACAGTAATCACCACACTATTTTTCCATCTAAACAATATATATACATTTTCTTAAATCTTGATCAAGTCATTTCATATGAATTAAATCTCATTTTCAGTTATTTTTATCAGAATGCGCTCAACTTGTATCATCACCTTCATTTGGAAGAAATCTTACGGAATTACGTTTTTATCTGAGCGATCAAGTGACTGATAGTGTTCTGGAAGCCATTGCGGCTCATAATCGTGCACTTCAACAAATTGCAATTATTTTTTGTCAAAACATCACTGACAAGTTAACGACTCTATTTTCTCGAAGTTTATTTAAAGTTTCAATTTAGTGAATTTTCATAGGAATGGTATTATCTATTCATGTTATGCACAATTAATATTATAGGGATGATATTATTTGAAAAATATCTTTAGGCTTCAAAATTTGTTACATCTTAATTTGACGGATTTCAATTTCAACTGGAAACATTTAGTTACATTTGTTGATAAAAGACCTAGATAGAAGATCTCGAAATCCATTTTAGGGTATTCGTGCAATAACAAGTGGACAACGAAAAATCGAGAAATTGGAATTTAGAGCTTTGAAGAAGCTTACATCAAATGGTTTATCACTGATAAAGTCAAATTTCTTACACACAGTCGATCTAAGTTCTTGCATAAAGGTCGAATAAAAATACTTGTTATCAAACTGTTGTCAATCTAAGTTTGGCTCATGTACAATTCATGTGGGGTGGTTTTGGTGTAGTGGTTTGGGAATGTTGTGCTGCGCAACAGTTCGGCAGTTCGTCTCTTCAGAGCCCTGTGAAGAAATACAAGATGACGAGTCTGAGTATGTACGATGCGGGGTGCAGTTATTGCACCTTGCCGTGCCTAGTCGTGATGTCTAGAGGCATTTGTCCGAGGGCACTAGGTGATTGTCGTCATTATCATCGGAAAGTTTCAGTGGAAGATGGAGAAGTTGGTGTGTAATTGAGGGGTTTGGTTGTTTGTGTGTTACGTTCCACATTTTGTAGTTTGGATGTCATTTGCAGTGTTTTTTGCTCTTTTATGAAGTCTGTCAATTTCATATTTTCAATTCAGATCAAAAGCGATGGGATCTATCAGCTTGTTTATTTAAATCGTAACATTCACTGTTTGTATTTGAATAGCTGCAGAGGTTAGTCCTTTCAAAAAAAAAAAAAAAAAAAAAAAACTTATGCATTTTGTTTTAACATTCTTTTGATATCATCTCGAAATCTAGTACTTCTATATCATGTTTCATAAATGTTCGATTTAATTCAGTCTTTTAACTGCTGTTTTTGTGAACTGATTGAATTTCGTTGCCGAAATTTAGGTCTAAATGATCAAGCACTTTATGATATCGCACACTATCTCGGAGAAAAATTATCTGTTTTGGAGTTGGATTTTTTACCAAATGTAATCGATCCATCTTCTGCTCTATTTTATTTGAGTCGTAATTGTCCAAACATCAAGCAGTTATCGCTTTGTCGTTTTTTCGAGGTATTCTTTTGAGGAATTTATTATCCACTTTGGAAATTGGGTACATCTGCATTGAAAATAAAAGTTTAATACTGAGTGACTTTTTAAAAGCGCTTTTTATTTAGGTAGGGAGAGAGCTTACACTAATGCCTGAATACAGAATTGCTGGTGTAGGACTGCGTGATGTTGATTTACATGGTTTGTTTTATTTTCTTTTATCTTGAACATCCATTTCCACCTCTCTATTCATTTTTTTTTTCTTGCTTTTAGCATTCTCTTGCATTTTGATGTAGTTAACGAAATCATTAGTAGCTACTCCTGATTTATCCAGCGATTGCTGCAGATTTTGTCTGGGAAAAAGGCTGCTTCATTTTCCACACATATACATTCATTTATGTGTATCCGCTTTAGTTGTTACCAGATTTACCCGGAACGAAATCTATTGAATGATTACTATCAGACTGTAATTCAAATTATCACTTCTTTTAGGGAACTATTTTTTCACTTTACCTCTCTTACCACCAACGGTAAACAGAATACGGTTGTCAGTATGCGGCGATGAGGACGTGAATAGTTTAATTGATCGTTTGGAGATGTTACCTCAACTGACGAGTATTCATCTACAGATGAACTGCAAGGAACCAAGCTGGGTGAGGATTTAACCATTTTCTTTAAACCTTGTTTGGTCCAGTTATCCTGAAATCCTGTCATCTAGAAATAGGGAATTTCTTGGTATGATTTTGAATGTTTGGAGTCATTTCCTTGTCCAAATCGAGTACCATGTATAAAAAGCACTTTTCATGAGGCGGAAGAGGTAAATTTTATCGTCCCACTTTGTAAGTTTATAACAATCATAAATACTATTAAACTTTTAGCGATTTTCACTTAATTTTAGCGATGTGTAGAAGATGCTAATTCATTTCTACGTTCTATCTTGCCTTATATTGGAAGCAAAATAACGCGGCTTCATGTTAGCTTTTAAATTTTCAATTGTTCTGTAACTTTGAGAAACTGATACCGATTTCTATAGACAGCATCATTTTCGTCCCCAGTTCCCTAATTTTTTACCCAAATCCTCCTTTAATTTATTTTTTGTTTCGGATAATCGTGAGGAAAAGCGTATCTGTTTTACTGTTAATTTTTAGATATCGCTGCCAACGATTATTGATGGTGTCTTCAGTTTGATAACACAGTGTCTACCAAATTTAAGTCATTTGGCACTTGACGTCAAGCACATCAACAACAAACTACTGCGGTTATTCTTTACTGGTTTGCATTTCGATCTCCAGATTTTATGGACATTTTGAACAGAGGAACTAAGTTTTGAATCCAGCAGAAAGCAGACGTAATCTTAGAAGAAATCTAATAAAAATCTAATAAAAACTTTTAAAAGCTATGACAAATATTCTAGGTGGAATTCATTCGCCAGGTTCAAGATTGCGATCGCTGAAACTTTGCCGTCTTCGAACAACTTACAGAGCTTTGTTTGCGATTGCGCGTGGCGCACATTCAATCACGGTACATGAAACTTAAATTTTCTAACCTGCTTCCTCTAAATATTTCTTTTTATTAGGTTTAAGTCAATCCAGCATTACCACTTTTCCATTTCGTCAAGCCTTTCTTCTCGTGTATATACCACAGATCGTTTCTTTTGACTTAGATTCAGAATAAACTTAAGAAATTAAGCTTAAGCACTATAAAAGTAGCGCCATCATTAAAAGCCGTTGTTGTTAATCCGAAAATATTTTTGAATATTCCAGGACTTAGAGGTGTCGCACATCCCTTGTGTTGATGATCGCTTCTTGGCTTTATTAGCAGATAATTGCATGGGTTTGAAAAATATTAATTTGAATGGTTGTAGATATGTCACCGACAAAGGACTTGCTGCCTTGGCGCGGTGAACTTTATTTAGTTCATAAATCCCATTCCCTTCATTTGCACAAGCTCAAAAAATATTTTCTAAAATGACGTAATGAAATTATACACTGGAAACTTCTATTTCCCTCATTTTTATGAATTTGCATTCATTATTAAATAAAAATACAAAAACATGCTTCTTATTGAATTTCCATCAGAAGTTTGAATAGTAAAGACATCCAGTATATTATTGGATAGGTGCAATCAAAAGTTATGTTTCAGGAAGTGTTGTTTAAAGGAAGTGCGAATTCGTGCAACGTCATGTACAGACAAGTCAATATATTTGCTGGCGCAGTTTTGTCCTGACCTTGAATGGATATCACACGCTGATTTTAGCGGACGTCCAAAGTTCAGTGATAAAGCATTACAGTGTCTCAAAGATTCCTGTGTGCAAAGGGTTATTTGTTGAATAAAGGAAACAAACTTATTTGTTCCTGTGTGTGAAGAATACGGCGAATTACTTTCCTACTATAACTTAGAAGTTAAAGGAAATAGATTTTTGTAATAAATTTCTCAGAATGAAATAGCTGAACCACATATTCCTCGACTGGAAGAGAATAAAGAGGATTTTTTCTTTTCACCTTGCGTAGTTAGTTTTAAACAGCATGATTCCAAGGAATTATCTATCGCAACTTTTCTCATACATGCAGATACCTTTCATGAATTGTAACTCCGCTCAAGCGAACTCTGAGTACAAAAATATGTTACCAATAGTTTACACCTATAGACTACATTTCCAAATAACCAACCTCTTATCTGTCTTCCTCACACAGATAAACTCCAAGAATTGTCTCAAACTACAATCCGTTTTCCCTTTCATTTTGATTTCGTAATTTATGATGCGGAAGTGATACCATGTCGGGATCAAATCATTCTTCACAGACCTTTATAAGTTAATTTACTGAAGAAAAAGCCATGTCCGAAAATATTCAAAATTTAAATAGGAATCCGGCGGTTTGCAATTAAAATATACTGCTAGGATCGGAGGGAGGGAATATATTTATCTCATTTTGTTATACGGAACAAGACATCATATTAGTTTTTTTAAGTCGCTTCGGACAACAGCACACAGCTTATCATATAAAAAGTTTTAGAAGTTGTAAAGGAACCATTGATTAGAAGAGGAATATAATCAAAAGTAATAATCTGTGGTCGCCGAAACATAAATATCAAAAAAGCAGAAAAGCCTGCAGAGTAAAATCACTAATACTTCAGAGAATTACTGCGGAGGCTGCGTGCCATTTTCATGCGGTCCATTCCTATCGCTTTCATTGCTAGGACCTCCTAGGAAATAATTCTGTAGATAATTTTTTAGATTTTGTTCAGCTTAGATTCATTTAAATAGGAATTAAATTTTTTAAAATCATTTAAAAATTTCATTTAAATTAAATGCAATTAAAATATACTGCTAGGATCGGAGGGAAAAAATCTATTTATCTCATTTTGTTACACGGAACAAGACATCATATTAGTTTTTTTAAGTCGCTTCGGACATTTTTTTTATTAAAAGCGATATTTGCATCTCACATAGAAAAACGAAATGCTGTCCAAAAAGTGCTGAGTAAAAGCTGAAATAGTAACTAATAGTAGTCCGCTTCTTAACTAGATATAAACGGTGAAATACAAAACCACCTTGGCCCTGGAACTGCTGTCTCAGCTGTTCAACCAAATCTGGATTAGCACTTTGCATTTGCTGAGCTAACTGAAAGTAGACAAAAATAGTAACGCACTTCATATCCTCGAAATAACATACACAAGTTTCTAAAGCTTATTTATTTTAATCAAATTTGTAATCAATGTGAACAAAAACAACCTGTTGGCCGGCTTCTATAAGATTAGAAACGCCAGCATTTGATCCACTGCCGAGAATACCAGTCATCATCTGTGACATCATATTCTGAATGTTAGGATCAGACATCAGTTGTCTGGCCATGTTCATCATCGCTGGATTATTCAGCAGTGCAGTCATGTCAGGCATCTGAGAACCAAACAGCTGAAACAAAAAAATCTTCATACAGATTGCCAAATTTGAATTAAATCACTCGAAAATATGACAAAACCTACCCCAGGACCTTGCCCCTGCCTGAATGATTCCTCTAGTTCTTTCAGCTTATCTTCAGCAATTTTCAGATTATTTTTGTAGCTTTCCTGTTCCGGATCCAATTCTAGTGCTTTTTTATATGCTTCTACAGCTTGCTCATAACGATTCTGGCAAGACAATGCCAACCTTAAAAAGTACGTGAAATTACGCAAAGGTTCATATTCGAATTGTGATGAAAAAATATTGGCTTAACAAAACACGCTAAAATTTACCCCATTCGTCCATAAGCTTTGCTATATTTTGGATCCAAGGCCAGTGCAGCACGACAATCCTGTATTGCCAAATCATACTGTTCTAGCCGACAGTAAGCTGCTGCTCTCAAATGCATGATAAACTCTTTAAACGAAAAACATATTTTGAGTAATACACTTATAAAAAACTTAAGGGCTGTCAGTTTATAGCATGTTTTCTTAAAATAAGTTTTTCAATGCTTTGTCTTCTTCCAAAGTTTTTTCCAGATACTTGAAAACTTCCCAGCAATTATGTCAACCAGGCTAATAAGTTCCGTCTATTTTACAGACAATATATCAGGACTTCTAGATCTACCGATTGCAAAAATAAGCCGGATCTTTGTTCAGCTTGATAGCTTCATTATACTTTAACACGGCATTTTCAAATTGCGAAGATTTCATTAATGTATTCCCTTCTTCTTTTAAATTATTCGCTATTTTGATTTCTTCTGCAGTTGGTTTCGGAAAATCATCAACACCCTGAAACTTCGATGTACCACACTTTTTTTGTTAATGCCTGCTTCAAAAGAATCTAGCTTAGTCACTTAGGACCACACCTTTTTTGTGCTGTGTACAGAGACTGGCATACATACAGTTGAAAAATCAGTTGCGCTGCATTTTAGCAAATCCTAATGACTCTTTTTTTTGCGATAGTTAGTTGATTTAAAAATGAAGCATACGGCAGGAAGACCCTCAGCTGCAACGAAAATATCCAAAAGAGGTTTTGATGGTTGAAACAAGTAACTGGAATCCGTTAAATCAAATGCTGTTTCAAGGCACTGAATAGCCACTGAAAAAATTTTTTTTGTAAAATTTGACTAATATTAATAAAATACGCAATAAATTAATTCTTTCAAGCTTGAAATAACTCATGGATGATATGCAACAATTTTGTAATTTTACAGAAATAAAAGCAGGGATGCAATGAATACAGATGTTCCGGAAGCAATCACGAGTTTTACTACAAAGCTACTACTTGTCCTAGACATATTAACAATCGCATCAGTGAGATAAACCATAGTGAAGTACAACAACGACAATAACCTTCAATTCCTTCAACCTGATCAGTTGTGCACTGTTCACGCGAAATCCGCTGGCGCAAGAATTGGATGAATGAAACGACGAGATTCTTTTCATCACTGATATCTTGCTTTTTATGACTCGATTCCGGATTGCTGGATGCTGCATCAGCTGAGTCATTCATTGTCTTAGTTTTTCCTCACGCACTCTATACTCACCAAATCTGAAAGCATTTCTTATACAGCATACAATTTTAGAGAAGCTGAAAACGATATCTTTTAAAGTCTAAATATCATACACGTAATGCATCGAAAGTCTCCACTGATTTGCATACTGTCCTTAGACAGGAATACGAAAACCAATAAAATTCTCTAAAAGGTTTTGCAGATCACGTTTGAATCAACCGCAGAATCTATTCACGTCGGAGAAAACTGATCTAAGAAAAACAGGACAAGGATATAAGATTTATGAGCCAAAAGAAACGTGTGAACACGTAACCACAAGCCACACAAATCACACATAAGCGTGAGCCTATGAATTGAACTCAACCCGCTCACATTCTCAGAAGAACCAATGAAGAACTGACGTTGAATGCAATTGGCACGTCCCACAAATGGACAGGAAGAGACTTCGGGGTTGCTTTCAGTCAAGTGAACAAGGCGATTTGGGATTTCTCGGGAAGATGAGCCTCTCTCTCTCTTGAAATCACTAGAAAAATTCTGTTTGTGGAAAAGGAACACCTTCATGGGATACGCGCTGATTCGGCATATGCATTCAGTAAATGTATTAAAGTGATGGTAACATTGTGTCTAGACTCGCTTATTGGTCTTCCCTTTTCACAAGCTAAAAAATTTCAATAAGTTAGGGATTCCGTATATAAACTCAGTATTTGTCAGAAATCTACCTATCGTTATACATGTTTTATATGAAAAGAACCCAAAATACAGAAAAGTACTCAATTGTAGCATGAACTTCAATCTATGACCTGATCTGAAGAGAGTTTTTATACAAGTTTATAATGGGAATGATATCTCTATCTCTTGTAACTTGCTTCTGCAACAGAAAAATGGAACAGAATAGTCGTTCTTAGAAATCCTACAAAAAATTTGTGGATCAATTGGTTATAAAACCTAACAACTTCAAATTTCTCACCACGTCTCTGTTTGTGACTTCCGTAACATCATTATTCAGAAAATTCAAAAGAAATGGTTTCTGTATAATCATTTTATTCATAAGCAATAATAATTTACATTTTTTAATAATACAAGATGTACATCAAAGCAAACGACATTGGGATTAATTATTGCATAAATGATTGAAAATGAATGACAAAAAATCTACATATACACATACATATATATCTACAACTAAATCATCACACCACGAAATTCAAAAAATTGATCAAAATATCAAATGTAATTTACTAGGCAGGGTACTACGTCATGCAATGATGTAGTATACAATACGTCATTAAAATGAATTTAGTTATCTCAATCGGTTTTTGTGCAATACTGCGCGCTTATTTACAGCGTTAAAGTAAATGATTGAATTCTGTTCATTATTGGCTTTACCGCTAGCCTATTAGCACAAACAAAGAATTAGATCATACTGCCGCTATACAGCTATATTTAATGTCTTATGTTTTCATTTGGAGATTCTATACACTGAAGCTGGGAATTTGACTTATGTGAGGAATAAAAGATGCAGTTAATTGATGCGAATTCTTCTTCGGACCTCCCACAAAAAAATTATTCACTTCCTTTTTATAAAATTTTTAAATAAAAATCTTCTAAGATGACATTAAAAAACATAAGATTCAGGTAATTTGAGTTCGAAAATATTTTTCGGTTTATTGTAGCATCCATATTCATTCATACGATTTGCATCATCATTTCGTTGAAGTAATCGTTTCACAGTTCGCGATAAGTCAACTTCTTCACGTTCCTGATGCATTTCTTCTACAAGTTGATTGAAGTCCTGAGTGCGAAACTTATCCAGAATTCTTTGTGTTCGTTTCTATAAAAGAACCATATTGAAGTTAGGTTCAGTCAACAGCAGTAATTTTCCAAGTACTCATGTTAACAGTATTCATATTTGCAATTCCCTTTAACCAATAAAAGTTATTACAAAGTTGCTTATGTTTTTTACGGCAATGAACATGCCTCCACTTTTTTATTAATGTGACACTATGAACGATAGGTCAAAAAAAAATCACAAAACCCGGAAAAACACACAAACAAATCATATAAACCTGTTCTTTTTTTTCTTCTTCACTCTGGTCAATTAACGCATTCGTTCTCTTGCGCAATTCACTAATAGTCGTCGGAGGAAGATCAGATTCTGCAATATAGTGTTTTAAAGTTGAAGAAATAACTTCAATGAATCTTTGCAGATAGAAATTCTTACTTTCTCGTGCTGGTGAAAAGATTGTATTTTTTCGAGAAGTCTGTATAGATTCAGATGGACTCCAATCAATGCTCATATCAACGGAGACTGTGTTTTCATCAATTCCACTATTATCTATTCCATCAACATTATTCATTTTTTCGGCTTCTATGAATGGCCAATCTCTATTTACTTCCATGTCACCAGATATTGATGACGCTAGTGCTACGCCTTTCGAAACAAATGCTACTGTCAAGTTCTTCACATCCTTACCGGTAGCCTAAAATAACGCAAGCAACAAGAAGTCAGTAGCAATCCAAAGTACGTTTTCAAAGCTTTATACAAAAATTAAAAGGTCGTGATACCCGTTATAACTGAAAATACCGAACATATCCTGCGAACAATTCAAATGTGCATTTACCACCTTAAGCATTTCGCTGACGTCATCGATATCGAAAAGAATTGTTGCATCCTCTTCAAGACAAAGCGCCGCTTGTTCTTCATCGTCATCACTTGCAAGTGGAGCCTTTTTAGGACTTTTTTTGTCAGACTGGAATTCCGACAAAAGATTTAGCAACGGATGGGCTCGTAACGCCCGTTGCTTTACAATCTAAATAAGTGATTTCTTTAATTACTTCTTGAATTTTCATCTTAAAATTAAAGTTTGGGGGCAAAACAAAATTATAACTGTCCTTAAGATTTCTTCCGAAAAATTTATGCACCTAAAAAAAGACTCTATGTTCTCAACAATTCTACATATCGTGTCCCTTCCACACCTAAAGCATATGCATATTCACTCCGTATTTTTGAAAGGGAATGAAAAACAACATGAATTCATCATATACGGAATATCTTTAGTGTTTCACTAATTCATAAATTAGACCTAAACTCTACAATAGTATATTACCTGTTGAACATGTTGACAAAGAGATGGTATGGCCATAAGCTGACTGCTGAAGTTAAGATATTTTGCCACCAAATTATGAATAGCTATACGCTTTGCACCATTAAAACGAAATGACGATTCCAGTGCCATTGATTGTAGAGCAAAAGACAACCGGAATAACTGTATCAACATCTAAAATGTTAATATCCACTTTTCCATTATATACAGCGTAATTTGCTAACAAAAACATCGATCGTTAAAGACGACCCAATAAAAACGAGTTTATGACATATTTTTTTCATAACCGTAGAGCGAAAATAATTAAGAGTGAACTTACTTCGTCAAAACCAACTTCAATGCATAATAAAGCCATTGTGCAAAGGATTGCATCCATATGTTCTCTTTGTGTCTCATCTTCCGGCACCATCCAAACACATCTACAAGCTTTCCGGTGGTAAAAAAATGTTTGAAGTTCTCGAATTTTTTCCATGCCAAGTCATAAATATAATGTAACAGAATCAAACGACTCGAGAATCTGGAATATGGATTACCTACATACTTACTTATGAAGAGCATTAAGTAAATGCGGCGCATAGTTTCGCATAATCATTTCATCCGAACGACTACATTTTTCAAAGGTTAACTGCAAATCAGTAACATCGTTGACGTAAGGTAAATGCCGTAATACTGACAAATTATCATGCCTGCAAGAAGTCGAAGAAACTGCAAAAGCTTCTTACAGATATTACGGGGCATGAAGATATCCACAATTTGTATTTTGCATTCAGAATTTGCAAGAAATGAATTATATTTGAATTCAATCATTGAAATAATTTAAAGAATAAACAAACAATAAAAATAAGATATAAACCTGTCAAGTAAGGTATGGAAAATGCACTGCGTATCTAAACGAACGACAGGATCAGCAGTCAAAGCTAATCGCAGCAGTGTGTTTGGGAAATTATTGCTAAATATCGTTGACATGAAACCTGTTCGATATTTCGTTGCCACCTAAAAATCAGACTTTATAAGTGTTTAATTTGTGTTTAATTTGAAATTCACATTACTGGAATGATTTGAAAATGAAAAAGTTTACAAAATAACCCTGAGACGATACAAACTGCATAATAAAATTAAATTGAACTTCAAGCATTAAAACTGAAAGACACACCTTTAAAAGTGTTTTTACAAGTATATGCTGCAAGAAAGTATCACTAGGTTTTAGTGACTGATTGTCTTTTCCAAGATTTGGTATGTTAGCGGATATAAAAAGCATAATTTCGACCTAAAAACTGAAACTCAGTAATTAAACTCATTATGTGTTCTCAACAAAATTTTTCAATATTCGACAACATTCTGGATAAAATTAATTCGTACTATGAAAAACAACATTTGCAAAGTTGCAAAGAAACATGATATGAATATGTAAAGAAAAAATTATATTATAGAATGAAACAAGACAAATGAAATTTCGTGAGACCCACTGCAAACAGACGTTTTTTACAAGTTATATAACACCGGATTACCTTCTGGTAATCAGGTAATGCATATGCATAGTCACCCATAGCATTAATTAAAGATTCTTGGTATATTTTTTCTTGATCAATCGATGGGCATTCTACGGTTTGTTGAAATTCAACAGATCGACGTAGATGTTTCAGTAAAGAATTGAATATACCTGAAATGAAATACGAAAATTACAACTTACACAATATCTAAGACTTACCTTATTTATGGTTCTTAAACTTTCTCATTTCTCTATTAATGATCCTAATCTCAAACGTGTCATAGATTCGAATCATGATATGGGAAAATTTTACGTTAGATGAACACTAAATATATGCCCTGTGATTGGTAAGTTTGGAAGTAATATCAACTTTTGACTATTGATTGTCATAGGTAAAAAAGTTCCT